AGCCTCTTCAGTGGCTCATACCTGTTTGTCATTCTCAATCACAGGTTTTTATGGATGTGGATCGAACCTGTTGGTTGATGTGAAAAGGGAAAACAAGCTGGAAACCACTGGTTGGTTTATTAAGGGTTTACACCTTGGTGTTCCTCTGCCTGAATAGGGATAGACAAGGGACCATTTAGGAAGTACCTTTCCACGCTGTACCAAGGATCAAAGGAAACCTGTTCATCCATCCAGGGTCTGCACAGCCTCTGGGCTTGCTGCCTCCAGGGCTCCCAATGCTGCTTCTGCATCTGCTGCCTTATTTCCCATCAGCAAATATTCTGGCAGGACAGAGATTGTGAAAATCAGGAAGTGTTTGCTTAGGAGGACGAGGGTAAAAGGTTTTTGGTGTATCAGCAGGATGCAGAGGAGGTGGGAAAGGTGACAATGTGTTATCTGGCCTTAGTAATGTCCTGATGGAGTTGTGAAGCTTGAGTAGTGTGGGGTGAATCCAGGAGCCCAAAGCCTTGGTGTCACTCTGGAGAAGAAAGAAGAGCTCTTGCTAAGTGACACTAATAGAGTTCATCAGCTTTTCCAAACAGAAGGAAGTGGCTGAAATGAGAAGGGTCACAGCCTGTCCTCAGCCAGTGGTGAGAATCCTAGGAGCTGCAGCTCCTCATTGAATGACCTCCCTGCTCTCCAAAGTTGTGGCTGTGTCTTTCAGGCTATCAACACCTCTGCTACAGGACACAAATTTAATTGATACTGTTCAGAACTGCCTAATGCTGAGCTGCAGAGAGGCAACAACCAGAGAGGAGCAAAGAGCTCGTGTGGATACTGAGCTGTGCTTCCCAGGGAGCTCCAAGCTGCTGAGAATGCTCTCCTAACCCAGGCCCCCACCCCTCCCTTGTTTTTCTGACTCAACCAACTGAATTTTCACTGCCTTTCTCAGGAAATGGCTCAGCAGCTGAGTGGATCTTCTCTTCTGGGGTTTTTGGTATATCCACCACGTTTCCCCCTGGCTGTGTTTCTCTGCCAGGCGAGTGGCACTGAGTGCCCTCCCCCTCATGCTGAGCTCTCTCCATGGCCATGTTCCCTCTCCTCGCTGTTTGGGCAAGCGAAACACATTTAATTGTCATGAAAGCTTTCTGCAAGAGAAGATTGCTGTGCTATTAAAACCAGAATGGACATGACTGGGGAGCAAATGAACATTTTTGCAGAAAGGGTCTGAACACGCAGTGCCTCAACCCAAAATCATCCCTCCCACAGCAGGGCCCCGGGTGACCTGCTGCAATTACCAGAGTCTTGGCAGCTGGCAAGAGCAGCAAATGGGGTTTATGTCAGAGCTTGTTACCTTAATTTGGTTAATTGTAGAGCAGAGTGCAGTTGAACAGGCAGTTCAAACCAGGCTCCAGCTCTCCGGGGTGCTGGGCACGGGCAGGGCACTGCCTGGAGAGCAGGCACGGGCTGGGGGGCATGGGGGGAACAGGGGTGGGCAGAGCTGTGCTTGGGATGTGCTCAACTGCACACCTTGGGCTCCCTGGGAGCAGCTGAGGCTATGCTTGGCAGCCTCACCTGCAGGTTTGTAACCCTTGATTGGATCCAAGTCTGCAGTTCAAGCCTCTAAGCCCAGAGGCTGGAATTGCATGTCGGGGCTTGAAGGATGCTGGGTGTCTGGGAGATTTTGTAGCCCATTTGTAGATGGTTCAGCATGGTCACTGTTCCTCTCTCCCTCCAGCACATCCTGGTCTAGTTGACAAGGTGGTGATCAGTCAAAGACTGGACATGATGATCTTGGAGGTCTTTTCCAACCTAAATGATTCTGGGATTCTTTTAGCAGGGCCTGTTAGAATAGGACAAGAGGTAATGGTTTTAAACTGTGAGAGGACATGTTTAGATTAGATATAAGAAAGAATCTTCCCTCCCCTTTTCCCCCTTTCCTCTTTTCCTCTTTCCTTCCTTTCTTTCCTTTCCTTCCTTTTTTTCCTTTCCTTTCTTCCTCCCCCACTCTCTTGGCTGTCCCTGTGCTGACCTGCCCCTCCTTTGCCAGCAGCAGCATTTTGATGCCAGTACTTCCCAGGGATGGGTTAGGTGTGTGCCAAGGTGGGTGCAAGGAGAGGTGTGTGAGGAATTAGTTATCTCCCACCCACCCACAGGGTATGAAAATTACAGGCTTTGAATTCATTCCTCTGCTTCAGAGCTCCTCCCAATGGTCCCACACTGCCTTTCTTAGAGTCATGGAATCACAGACTGCTTTGGGTTGGAAGGAGGTTTAAAGGTCATCTCATTCCACCCCCTGCCATGGGCAGGGACACCTTCCACTAGCCCAGGTTGCTCCAAGCCACATCCAACCTGGCCTGGAACACTCCCAAGGATGGGGAATGGGCTTGGACCATCCCTTGCCCAGAGCCTGAAGAAGCCTGTGGATCCCAAGCAAGTGGCACATCCTCAATACAAGCATGTGGTTTTGGGTTGGAAACCACTGATGTTCTCCTCCCTTCCCTTTCCTTCCCCTCGTTTTCTCTTCCCTTCCCGCCCCTCTGGGCCAGCTGGGCAAGGGCAGCACCTCAGCCCTTTCTGAGAAGCACCAGCACAGGGTGGCACTGAGTGAAACTTGCAGCTGCCTCAGAAAGGAACATCTGGCCTGAGAGGTTTTTGCCTGTCACAAACAAAAAGAGGATTTTGGGGAAGGCTGGTGGCCAGTTGTGGGCAAGAAATGGAGTGATGCTTGTGTTGCTGCTTGTTGTCTGCTGCTCCTGGATTGGAGCATCCTCCTGGCATGGTGAAGGTGATGATCCATTGATCCAGGTGGGAGCATGCAGGGCCTGAGCAGATCTTTGACAAGACACATCCCAAGGGGTGTTTGAAATGCCTGCAGAGCCTCCTGCTCGCCTAGTCCATCCATGGGCTGTTCCAGTAGCTAATTACAGGCACTGTGAACAAAAAGTGTATCTTATTCCCATAACAAAAGCCCTGGAAAGAACTGGACTAGTAATTATTCAGGAAGGGCAGAAAATGAACTCAGAGAAAGCTGAGCCTGAGGGATGCAGTGGAATGTGATACCCTGCACACTCCCTCCTGCTCAGCCCTTTTATTCACCAGTGCTAAATTAGGATTCTGTGGCTGAACCTGTAAGGCAGCAATTAAGGTTAAACTCAGCATCAGATCAGTTCTGCATTTCCTGCCTTTCCTGTCACACTCAGATGTATTTGTGAAAAGGGATTGATGCATTTTGCTAAGCAAGTTCACTGGCTCAAGGAGCATTAAATACATCCAGCACATCCCAAGGCAGAGGCAGAAGAGACCTTCCTGGTGCAAGGAAGTGCTGAGAGAGAGGGAGAAGGCAACACCAGTGGAGAACAAGAATCTGCAGTGGAATTTGGACAGGTAGAGCCTTACAGACCTGTTGGACACTGTATTTCCCACACCTGATGGATTCCCAGATAGTGCATGAGCTGCTGCTGTGTTCCTACCTCGCCTGCAGCTCCTACTCACAGCATCTCCTTGCAAATGGGATGGCTCCAGGCAGAGAAAAGGCAGAGGCATGCGGATTTCCTGGGTAGCTTTGTGAACAGAGAGCATTTTGCTCTCTGTGATAGGGAATATCTTTTTGCCCTAGTTAGGACTATGCAGGAACAGGAGGGAGGAACGAGGTGAAGGGAGCAATGCCCAGGATGGAAAGGATGAGGATGGAGCTGGAGGGTCAGGTAGGGAGGGGGAAAGAGAAGATGGAGCTCTCCCACGCACACAGAGCAACTCCATGTCACTGGCAGAGATTTGGAGCAGTCCCATGCATGACAGGTGCATCAGCACACTGATAGTGCTGTTGGAAAAAATCCCTTTCCCAGCACTGGAAAGATGAGTGGGAGGTGTTAAAAGGTCTGTGCATCCATATTTCTCACCCACCCACTGAAACAGTGGCTTTTGGTGGCATAGGGGAGGGAAAATTTCCAGTGTGAGGTGGGAAGAGAGGCAATCCAGAGGGAAAACACCTGGTGCTTTAGCATCCCTCTGCCTTCCCCAGCAGCATATCCTGGATACCTTGTGCTGAGAGATGAAGGGTTAAGCTCCAGGCCCTGCTGACTGCCATGTGATGCAGTTGCTGGGGTGATTAGTAAAGATCTGTGCCCTAAGAGGAATCACATGGGCTTCCACAGGGCTCCCTGGATGCAAAGGTGCTCTGCTGTGAATCCCACCTCGTTCCCCTCTTCTCTCCACACCAAGGGGAGCAGCAGGTCCAGGGAGGGGAGTATGCCTTTGCTATCCCAGCCCTACACCCAGGCTCCACATCAAAAGACAGGGAACAAAACAACTACAGAGCATTTAAAAGCTAAATAAATAAACCCTGAGCTGCTCTCAGGCAGTTGGGAGCAGAGGTACAATCAAGTTGTCTATTTATGGCTGCTTCTTTCAAAAGCAGATGCATAACAGGAACTTTGGATGGTCAGGCCCTAAAGAAGGTGACTTGTGATAGCTGAGCCCCGCAGAACCTGACTTCCCCAAATCAAAGGGATTGCCACAGCCCTCTGCTTTATCAGGCGGCTGGAGGAAATCCTGGGTTTCTGCTTTATGGGGTGACTGGTGGAAGTGGAGGAAATCCTGGGGCTTTATCGAACCACAGCAGCCTTCAGTTGACAGGACAGTGTGACAATATGTGTTTGCAAAGCATCTTCCAGCAGGAAGGTCCTCAGAATGTTTTCTTCACAGGGAGAAGATATCTGGGAGATTACCTCAGGGATAGCACGTTGCAGTGTGAGAAAGTTTGGAGGAGTCACTATGGCCAGTTGCTTGAGACATGTAGTTTTGGGGCATATTTGGTGCATTAATCAGATGAATTAAGCACTGTAAGACTGGTGGAATCACCCCAAGAGGAAGATGTGCATGTGTTCTCAGCATAACCTGAAATGCATCAGGTTGATTATTAAGAGCAGCTTTTGCCTCCAAATTTCTCTGTTCCAATCCTCACAGAGACCCTTGGGGTTCACAGCTCATGTGTATTGATCCTTTCTTGTGTTCTGCAGGTGATGTGTCAAACCTGAGCCCTGAGCACTCCTTCGAGGGCACGAAGGTCGGTGTGGGGAACATCGTGTTGGCATTGTACAGTGGCCTCTTTGCCTATGGAGGATGGTGAGATGCAGCCCTCTCTCTTTCTTCAATCCTAAATACTATTGTCCATTCCTCCAAACTGAAGCTCCTCTGTCAGTTGTTTGAGCACCTACAAGCATGAAGGGCTGCCCAATCTGCTGTGAAAACAGGCCAGTTGCAGCTATCATCATGGAATCCCACACTGGTTTGTGTTGGAAGGGACCATAAAGATCATCTAGTTCCACCCTCTACCAAGGGCAGAGACACCTTCCACTAGCCCAGGTTGCTCCAAGCGACATCCAGCCTGGCCTGGAACACTTCCAGGGATGGGGCAGCCACAGCTTCTCTGGGTAACCTGTGCCAGTGCCTCAGCACCCTCACAGGAAGGAATTCCTTCCCAATATCCCACCTACCTCTGCCCTCTGGCAGTGGGAAGCAATTCCTCCTTGCCTCTCCCTTCAGGCCCTTGTCCAAAGTCCCTCTCCAGCTCTCCTGGAGCCCCTTTAGACACTGGAAGGGGCTCTAAGGTCTCCCCAGAGCCTTCTCCAGGCTGAACAGCCCCAGCTCTCCCAGCCTGGCTCCAGAGCAGAGGTCCTTCAGCCCTTGGAGCATCTTTGTGACCTCCTCTGGAGTTGCCCCAACAGTTCCATGTCCTTACACCTGGAGGGGTGGCCTTGTCATACATGGGTTTATCTCTTCACCTGCAATGCCCTGCAGTAGGCTGCAGCAGGGTCTGTTGGATCCACCTGCACCATCCAGGCTTACTCCTTTCAGGTTTAGTGCTGCAGGTCTTGGATGAGACATCAGCTATCCTAGGTTTTCTCACAGGTGTCAGTCTCTGTACTCCTTCTGAAATCCCCATGCAGATGAATTAATCTGAAGGGCTTTACTTATTCCATGGACTGAGCAGAATTAACCTCTGTTCTTTTTAAATAACAGGAATTACTTGAATTTTGTGACAGAAGAGATGATCAATCCCTACAGGTAGGTGTGTGTGTGTCCTGGGGTGACATCTCTGGGAGGAAAACCTGGTTTTCTGGGGAACTCCTGTGTACCAGGGATTGCTGATCAGCACAGAAGCCAAGGTCTTTATCTGGGGAAATACAAAACAAGAGAAATTAATGTCCTTCTTCCGCCCTGGAATCATGGAAAGGGAATAATAATCTCTATAGCAGAAGGGCTGTTGTGTTTATTCCACTTTCCTGTACTGCTAATATCAGTGTTTTTGGAAAGCTCTGCTTCCTTGGCATGACACCTCTGTGAGTTATGGGTGAGGAAGAAGCACTCAGAGCTTTATTACTGCCTTGTATGAACTCCCAGCAGAGTATTTGTGCTGCTGCACACGTGTTTGTCACGTGCTCTTCCCGTCCTGTTGAGCAACAGCTGCTTCCTGCACTCCTCTTGCCTTTTGGGGCTAGTTGGGAGTCTCATGAGCTCAGGGTGGGCCACAGCAAAGCAGGAGAGTACTAAGAAATCACTTTTGCTCATGAGAAGATGCCTCTGAGCCACTGTAATAGGATCACTTGTGCAAGAGCCCATTCCTGGCTGGCCCTAGGAGTGATTCGTGCCTGCTGGGTAGCACAAGGTTTGCTGCACCTATTTCAGTAACTATTTCTCTATTGAGAAATAGTTATTGAAAGGGGCTTTGCACAATTATTTTTGTGTCTGCTGAATGCAGTCATGGTATTTGCCTCTCCTTCCTGTGGCTTTGAGCTCCACTGGACCAATTAGATGTGGCACCAAGCAGAGTTTCCTTTTACAGTTTCCCTTTGCAAATGAAGTTAAACTGTTCAGAAGGGCAAATTTGTACAGACTCACTTAGGCTATGTCTGGGTTCATTTGCTTTTAGTTGCCTCAGCCCAGACAGCTGCACAGAGTTAGGGCCTAAAATCTGCCTGTTGGATCCCTGAGCTTTCCAGCTCCCATAAGAAACTCATCAGCACAAGTGAACTCCTTTACCCAGGAGACAATCCCAAGTGCTGATGCCACTGGGTGTTTTCAATTAACTGTCTTGCAGTGATCTTGGATTCCTGTTCCCAGCCAGAGCCTCTCCATGCAAAAAGTCCCTTTTGCCCTAATCCTTGACTCTCCATCTGCAGCCTCTACGCTGTTCAGAGAATCATGGAGTTGTTTAGGCTGGAAAAGATCTTTAAGACTATCAAGTCCAACCATCAGCACAACATCACCACTAACCATGTCCCCAAGTGACACATCCACATGTGTTTTGAACACTTCCAGGGACAGTGACTCCACCACTGCCCTGGCAGCCTGTTCCCATGTGGGCATCTCCTCCTGTTCCTTGAGAGCTGTGTGGCTGGGGAAACTGGACATGCTGAGGAGACAAAGAAGAGCAGAGTGCTCAAGCAAACTTTGAGGGCAGTGATCCCTGGGATGAGCAGCTCTCTCCTCTGAACTGCTCCATGACAGTTTATGTTTCCTTCCTAGAAACCTGCCCCTGGCTATCATCATCTCCCTGCCTGTAGTCACTCTGGTTTATGTGCTGACTAATTTGGCTTACTTCACGACGCTGTCAACAGAGCAGATGCTGTCATCCGAGGCAGTGGCTGTGGTAAGATATTTACTTCTCCCATATGACTCATCTGGTTTCCAGGACAGGTTAAATCACACATCTGCACATATCTCCTGGTTTGTTCCAGACTGGTATTGGCTGCTTAGATAAAAACTGTGCGGATAAAGAACAACTGTGATGGGAGCAGGAACAGCGTGATACCATGTGGGATTAATCACAGACAGTGAGGGTGGGCAGGCAGTGCTGCTCTTAATGCTTAAACAGGCAAAGTTGCTGCTGGCCTCATGACTTTTCAGTTCCCAGAGCATGATATGGATGGGGAAAGGTCATTCAGGCAACACTGAACTAGATTGTTCTGTCTCTGTATCTTCCTTGTTTTAATTAAGAGAGGAAAATAATACTTGTATTAATTAAAATGCCACTGTGGTCAGAAACCCTGATTGCTTCAGGAGGGTGCAAACTGAGTGTCACCAGGATTGTTCAAGGCTTCCAGGGAAGTCTCCTAGCCTAGGATGAGCTGGTCTGGGTGCTCAGGTACCAGTGCTTCATCCTGTGGGTTGGTAGCAAGCCCCTGCTTCAGCCCACACTGATACAGTGCCAAGTTATTGGAGATGCAGCTCTGCTGCATTGAAGCATGGAATGGTTTGGGTTGGAAGGGACCTTCTCATCTCATCCAATTCCAACCCCCTGCCATGGGTAGGGACACTTTCCACTAACCCAGCTTGCGCCAATCCCCATTCAGCCTGGCCTGGAACACTTCCAAGGATGTCTCTCCAGCTGTGTGCATTGCCTGTGCAAGTCTGGAGATCAGTATAATGCAAAGGCTTGAAATCAATATCATATTGTTGGTATAAAACCTCAGTGGAGCAGCACAGGGTCAGTCTGTGACCAAAAACTGCAACTTCATGTCACTGTGTGTCCCCAGGGCTGTGTCCCAGCTCCTGACTCAGCACTTGGCAGTGGCTACATGCCTAAATCTCCTCACAGTTTCCATTGGTCTTGAAATTCTGGAGAGCTGTTCTGATAAATGTTGTGTCCTGACACTGAGGGGAAGGGTTGGCTGATCTTTTTTTTCAGCAGTTCCATGATATGTGTTTTCAGGAAAGAGGAGCAGCAAATGGCAATATGGAACACTCCATGACAGTTTCAGCACTAAGCTATACCATTTGCTCAGGTTTCTACAAGTATAAAGTCTTTGAAGGTAGCTGTGAGTTCTTTTGGACATTGTGGATGTGAAATGTCTCTTTTTTCTCCCCATTTAGGATTTTGGGAACTACCACCTTGGTGGGATGTCCTGGATCATTCCAGTCTTTGTTGGCCTGTCATGCTTTGGGTCTGTCAATGGATCTCTTTTCACTTCTTCCCGGTAGGTTTGTTGCTCAATTCTGTGGGTTTTGTTTACAAGCTGTGCTTAATGCCTGTTCCTTTGGAGTTGTCCTCCAGAGAGTCGCTGTGGGCAGACACAAAGTCTAAAAGGGTCTGGAGGCCATGTGGGGAATGCAGGGGAAAAAAACGAGTCAGACTTTCAAACCATATCCAGATTAAAGGAAACCCTTCAGTGGTCTTAATCTTCTGTTCCTCAGGCAAAGTCCTGTTGAAGTCAAACCAGAAACAGACACAGGCTCAGGGCTTGGTGATGCTTTAATGAAAAGCAGAAAGTTGTGAAACTTCAGGGCTGAGAATCCCTCGGGGAAGGGGAGAAAGGACAGGGCAGGATGGGGACTGGGATGGTTCCAGCTCTGGCACATCTCCTGGGTTGTTTCAGGTCAAGTCACTCAGTCTCAGGTCAAGCTGTCTCAAGTCATTCAGTTGCTGCCTCTGGAATGAAGGATATGAGTACATCTTTCTGGCATTCTTTGTCCATCTCCAGCCTTCCTTTTAACCCAGGGACTGGCACTTCAGTCTTGTCTCAGCCCTGTCTGGGCTGAGCTTGGGCTGTCCCACTTTTTCTGTGCTGAAGACAAACCCAGCTGGGGCTGCAGGGTGATAACTGCTCTGTGTCCTCCACCTCAGGCTGTTCTTCGTGGGATCCCGAGAGGGACATTTGCCTTCAATCCTGTCCATGATTCACCCCAGGCTTCTCACCCCTGTGCCATCCCTTGTGTTCACGGTAAGAACCTGGGGTGGAGAGCATTGACCTTGTGTTGAGGAATGATTGGGGGTAGGATCCCATCAGAGTGGTTGGAGTGGGGCTACCACCTCCAGTCGCAGCCATTCCTACCTACACCTACAGGAGATGGACCTTTCTTGTCATATCCTCATAGTCCACTTCTGGTTTGAATTCTCCTCATCCCTGGAAGTGTTCCAGGCCAACTTGGATGGGGCTTGGAACAACCTGGGCTAGTGGAAGGTGTCCCTATCCATGGGGATGAGATGATCTTTAAGGTCCTTCCAACTCAAACCACTCCATGATTATGATTCTAAGAAATTGTCCAGTCACCAATTAAAAATACTTTAAATAAGTAAAAATAATCAACATGCTTCTTTCCCTGACAGTTGTTCTTCTAAAATACCTGTGTTTGGTGTTGTAACATACATGTTATATACATATGTACACAAGTAACATACATGTTTTGCCTACTCCCTTTGCTAATGGCTTTTTCCCTGCATGCAGTGCATCATGACCCTGCTCTATGCCTTCTCCGACGACATCTTCTCAGTCATCAACTTCTTCAGCTTCTTCAACTGGCTCTGTGTGGCTCTGGCCATCATTGGCATGATGTGGCTGCGTTACAAGAAGCCAGAGCTGGAGAGGCCCATTAAGGTGAGAACAGTGTGGTGGTAACTGTGTGTGTCCTCCCTGAGGTACTTCTCAGCACCAGGGAAGGCTCAGCAGGTGCAGCTGCTGGTCCTGTGTAGAAGAGGGACTGGATTTGTGCAGGGGAATGATGTGTTGTAGCTAATGGAGGTGTCCCTGCTGCTGGATGGGGGTTGGTGCAGGAGGAGGATGAGCTGCCACGGCCATAGGGACAACAGAGTGAAGGAGGCTCTGGGTGTTAGGACCATGGGATGTTCTGGTGAGGCAGCCCAGGGGAAGCTCTCTATGACTAAACACACTGCCCAGGACAAATCCCAGTGAAACACTCTGTACCACCATGGAATTCACTTAAAATAGTTTTCTACTCTGCCTGCAGAGCTGAGAACTTTGTGCTCTGTGTCCTTGGCCAGCTTGGCAACACTGTGTCCCAGCTGGGAGAAGGCCAAGGATGTGTCAGCCCCCGGTGTGTCTGCCTGCCTTAGAGGCATGTTTCTCACTCATCACCCAGCACACTGGGGGCTCTGCCAGCCAACAGGAGAGCGGCAAACTCACAGACTCACTCACCAATGCCTTCCCAAAGGGACTCTTTGCAGGGAATTTCCTTAGGGTTTTGGGTCTTCTCCTAAAGGCTGAGCTGCTCTTGGTGTGTGTACCCTGCTCAGAGACAGCTATGGAGCTGTCATGGCTTGTGCTATGGCTGCTGCTGAGTTTGATGCTCTTTGTACAGATGGTTTATATAAGGACTCATAGAAGTATGGTATGGGGTCAAAAAAGGTGCTGAGAAAGGCTCATGGCTCCTGGCCATGGTGGAACATGGATTCTTTCCTTCCTTGGGCTGTTCAGCTGGGTAAAATTCCCTGGAAAGCACACCCTGCTCCCCTGACACAGCTCCTAACCTGTTCCTTGGTCCCTGTTCAGGTGAACATCTGCCTGCCCATTTTCTTCATCCTGGCCTGCTTGTTCCTCATTGCTGTTTCCTTCTGGATGACACCAAAGGAATGTGCCATTGGCTTTGCCATCATCTTCAGTGGGATCCCTATTTACTTCTTTGGGGTCTGGTGGCAAAACAAGCCCAAGTGGATTCTCCAAGGCATCTGTGAGTATCACCAGTGAGGAGCAAAGGTGCAGGTTTTGCTCCAAAAAGAGCTTCCCAGTGACTTGCTGCAGCTGGTAGCGTTGGCTCTCCTTCCCATGCTGAAGGTTTCCAAAATCTTGGCTCTGATCCATTTCTTTAATGATAACAAGTTTAGGCTGGTGATCCCTGTGCCTACACAGCACCCAAAATGCACCCTGACTTGCAATAATTGCAGAGTTTGGGATAAATACCATGTTTTGGTTTTTTTTTTCTCTTGGCAAACAGGTGGTGGTTACACAGCAGAGTGGAATTTGCTGAGCACATTGCTCACTTCCACTCCTGGAAAGACGCAAGGTCAAACCTTTGGTCAGCAGAGAATCCCTTCCCAGTGGTGTAGAAAGGGAAGAGGAGGAACTGAGCACAGTTGGCCTCAATTTGACTGCTGAAAATTCACAATTAGTCCCAATCCATGGCTTAGCTAGTGCTAACATTTCTGATCCAGTCACAGCTTTCCTTGGCATCACACTGTGGCAGCAGAGCAGAGGGAGGGAGAGTCCCCTGGATGTGTTCTCAGGAGGTTTATTTTTAAGGTACCTAGTGTAAGGTTTTCCAACAGCTGACACTGCCTCATGGTGTGTTTTGAAGGGATGGAGAGGCTGTGCTTGGCACATGGAACCTGTGCCTGAACAACTGAATCTAGAAAGTTAATCCATGTTGTCCAAGTAACTGAACTCCACCAGCTGCTTCCCAGCTCTCCTCCAAGGGGCTGACCTAGAAAAGCAGACAAGTAGAAGTGCCCAGCCTTAGCTGAGTGTTTCATGAGGAAGAAAAAGGCTTTCAGCACTGCTCAGCACTTGTTATTTCTTTTATTCCCCCTGTCTGTCTCCCCTCTCTCCCACACTCCCTTTTTCATCCTGAGTATTAGGCTCAGTTCCTGGAAAAGCCATTTTTGCAGTGCCTGGGTGGCAAATTACCATATTCATTGTTTTCCTCCACCAAAGGCTTGTAAAGAGAATATAGAAAATATTCTGGGAACAGAAAATTATGATCCTGCAAACATCCAGATAGGAACTTTAGACACGTGTATTGATACATTTCAGATAATTCAATCACCTCCAATGGATCTGAGCCTGACTTGGTGTGTATTTAGCATTAGTCTTACCAGCCAGGAGTATCCTGTGGTCTCCAAACACAGAGTGGAGCAGCAGGGAGCAGAGGTGTGTTTGGATAGCACCAGCACTAATGGGTGGAAAAACAAAGGTGCTTCAGTTTAGCACCTTTTCCTGGGCAATGATGCACCTGGAATGGCTCCTGTGTGCTGCACCTGCAGTAGCTCCTGTGCTCTGCACCTGCCCTGAGCCAGGCAGTGGCCTCTGCCCTGCATGCAGGACACTGAGGTGGGTTTGTCCTTCCAAGAGGCTGTGGGCACACACTGGCTTCAAAATTGGAAGCAAAAGCTTTGGCTTGGATTTTCCATGCCCGTTCCTGACTCAGTTTTGGCTGCTCACAGTTACGGCGTACAAAATTAGTTACCAGATCACCGTTTAATTAGGAACTGGTGTCCAGGAGTCCCAGAGCCTCTCCTGGAGCAGTGCAGCATTGTTGCTGTAGGAGCAGAGCACCCAGTGTTCCATGTTTGAGCTCTGGGCATGAGTAGGGAGTATCCCATGGCTTATTCCAAGCCTTAAATTGTGTTTGGACTCATCTTGCTCAGCCCCGGTGGGGAGGGAAATGGGTCAGCCCTTCTCTTATGAACCTGCACCAAGATTCATGTGTGCTATCCCTGACAATTCCTTTGCTTTCTTCCCCACAGTCTCTGCAACTGTTGTGTGTCAGAAGCTGATGGAAGTGGTTCCTCAGGAATCCTAGGCAGGAAAAGCAGAGACATTCAGCTCGAGGAAACGCACAATATCATTTGAAGATGACATGAGAATCTGATCCCTCACAACCGAATCCCAAGCACTGGAGCATCCTGTCGGAGCTGCT